CCCGGGTAAAGGAGCAGGGTTGGAATTGTGACATTAAAAAAAACAATAATTGCTAAAATAAATTTAATTTGTAGTTCTAAATAAACTCTAACTGCATTTAGGACGTTTTTACTCACTTTATGTCTCTTCCACGATGTTATTTCTCTCTCCAACAACGTAGGTCACAATTACATTAGCATGACCGATTATGCAAATTAGGCGATGACGTCATTTAGCGACTCTCAGGACAGCCAATAGCGAGTTTCCTGAGAATCTCAGGTTGGCTGAAGATCTCACCTACATGGAGAGACAGTGCAGAAATAAACTGTGGCCCGTGACGAGGGAAAGAAGACCAAATGGATTGGTCCTGTGTAAGACACAGCGCATAAATAAGAGGTTATTAAAAGATCAGCAAGATGACTGAAATACTTTAAGTTCACTCTGTAAGTTACGTAACATTAACAGGTATTTCAACTACCTCAGGCTCCCAATGTTACTGTTCAATATTGAATCATTTGAGGCACTTGTATATTGTATCTTTTGTTTGTTTTGTTTTGCTTGAAATACCTCAGGTTCATTAGCTAATATGTTTACAACCAATAATATCCTCTTTAAATCTTCTATAAAACTTTCATACCTCCAAGTTAGTTGTACCAATACTTGGCAAACATTATTATGGTTATGTTTGGACTTGCTTATGTTTTACAGTGTGAGTAGTTAAACATCCTACTTTCTTGGTGTATAAATGTTAATTTGCTGAAGTATTTGGGTCACTTCAATGGGGAAAAACGAAATAGAGTCTGAAGACTTTTACTTAGGTACTCAACATTTAGTTTTCCTGTTTGAGAGTATCTTTTAGGTGTTTATACCTTAGCACCTTATAAATTTCTAGTTAATTTTACAGACATCCAGTTCACTTTATTCATTCCCTTCTTCTCTTATGACAGACTTACATTTCAGTTCCTTAAAAATACTATCCCTTAATGTTAGAGGTATTCGCGACAGTACCAAAAGAAAGTCAATTTTCATTTTCTGTAGACGAAAAAATGCTGATTTGATTTTTCTACAAGAAACTCATTCGAGTGATAATGATGTAAAATTCTGGAAAGCACAGTGGGGTGATCAGTGTTATTTTTGCCACGCCTCTCAACATTCGGCAGGCGTAGCCATTCTCCTTAACAACTTTAAAGGTAATATTATTGAATCGTTGTCTTCAGATGAAGGCAGATGGATTATTCTCGTTTTCAAATTGGACAACACCTTTATAGTCTGTAATTTATACAGTCATAATAACACAACTCAGGCCAAATCTATGTGCATACAATTATCTGAGAAACTTGATTTTTTAAAATCAAAATATAAGGGATCCCACATGATTCTTGGAGGAGATTATAATGATGCTCCAGACGATCTTATAGATAGAGTACCAATAAGAACATCTCAACACTCAAAATTTAAAAGCACTGCATTTTTCTGCGAACAACTTGCAGTTATAGATGTATGGAGATTCTTCAACTCTGATACAAAAGAGTTTACCTGGAGCAATGCAAATAGATCTCTACAATCCAGAATTGATTTGTGGTTAATATCTTCTTCGTGTTTACATTTTGTTTCAGAATCTTCTCATGATTTTGCTCCATTAACTGATCACAAATTCATCACAATTCTCTTAGTTGGCAATAAACAAAGTCAAAGTAAACTACGTGGTTTTTGGAAGCTAAATAATAATTTATTGAATGATGATACATTTTGTAGTATAGTGGAAAAAACGGCAGAACAGATATTCGGGGGTTTACCAATATGAATCACACACTAAAATGGGAATTTTTCAAATTCAAGGTAAGGGAAGCGGCAATAAGGCGAAGCAAAGAAATTAAAAAAAGAAATGACACTAAAGAAATCAGTATTATGAATGAATTAAACATATTAATGAAGAAAGATGCTCTATCAGATGATGAAGAAATTAAATTGAAAAGACTAAAGGAATAAATAGATAATGCATATATTAATATGGCTAAAGGGGCTTTTATAAGGTCCAAAGCAAAATGGCTAGAACTAGGTGAAAGAAATTCTAGTTACTTTTTTGCTCTTGAGAAACGAAACCAAAGAAGAAACAATATATCTGCTCTTAAGATTGATAATAACATAACCACTAATTATTTAGATATCTCAAAACATGTTGGTTCATTCTACAAAGATATATACAAATCAAATTGTAATATCAATGATTGTGATAGATTTATCGAGTCAGTTAAAAACTTTGCACCAACAATCTCAGAAAACTTTAAAACTAATTGTGAACGTCCCATAACAAAATCAGAAATTTCAGAGGCAATTCGATCAATGAAAAAGGGCAAATCTCCAGGTAATGATGGTTTGTCAGTGGAATTTTATTTACAGTTCTGGGATATCATTGTTGATCCTTTGTTAGAAATGTTTAAGGAATGCCTTGATGGAAAAGAAATGTCCACAAGCATGAAACAGGGTATTATAACTTTAATTCCTAAACCTGATAAAGATCTTTTATAGAAAATTGGAGACCTATCACGCTTTTGAACATAGATTATAAGATTATCTCATTGGTCTATGCCAAAAGATTAAAGAAACATCTGGATGAGATCATAGCTGAAACGCAAACCGGATTTATGACCAACCGCCATATCAGTTCAAACATAAGGCTTATTTTTGACCTATTAGACTACTCTGACAATATAGATGATGATTCCCTTATTGTGTTTCTTGATTTTTATAAAGCTTTCGATACGGTAGAACATTATTTCTTATTTAAAGCACTCAAAACTTTTGGTTTTGGTCCAAACTTTGTGTCAACTATCGAAATGTTTTATACAAATATTGACAGTTGTGTTATACTATATCCAAATACTACTAAAAGATTTCCAGTCATGAGATCTGTTCGCCAGGGTTGCCCAATTTCACCCTTTTTATTTTTGATTGTGGCTGAACTACTTTCATTACACATTTTAAATAGCCCAGTCATTAAAGGTTTATCTATTTTTGGTAAAGAAATCAGAGTGACTCAACTAGCAGATGACACCGTTTTATCCTTAAAAACAAAGATCAGATTGAAAATGCTGTTTCATTAATAAATGATTTCTCAATTGCCTCTGGATTAAAACTAAATAAATCTAAATGTGAAATTTTATGTTTGTACCAATCAAATGTCAAATCCTTATACAATATTCCTGTCAAAGACTGTGTTAGATACCTTGGTATTCATGTCTGTAAGAATGACACAGAGCGTCAACAACTCAACTTTTCTCCCAGGATGGAAAAACTAAAACTATACTGAACTTATGGCTCCAAAGAGACCTATCAATTTTTGGTAGAATCCTTTTGACTTAAGCTGAAGGTGTTTCCAGATTTGTGTATCCAGCTCTTTCCCTTAATGTGTATGATTCCACATGTAAAAATGTTAATAACTTATTTGTTAACTTTGTATGGAAGAATAAGCACCAGCATCTAAAAAAATCATTGCTTTGTGGACCTAAAGACAAAGGTGGTTTTGGCCTTCTGGACTTCATGGACCTGAACTATACATTTAAGGTGAAATGGCTAAAAGAATGCTTAAAATCTCCTGGATCATTATGGCATTTCATTCCACATAACATTTTTAGAAATGTTGGAGGTTTACACTTCCTATTGTCTTGTAGTTACAGTATATCAAAGTTACCAGTTAAAATGTCTGCATTTTATCAACAGGCATTGTTGGCTTGGAGATTATGTTATTCACATAACTTTTCTCCACATAGATCTATTATCTGGAATAACGAATGTATTACTAAGAGGAACAAATCACTATATTTGCAGAATTGGATTGATAAAAATATAATCTATTTAAAAGACTTATTTGACTCTGAAGGCCAGCTACTTAGTTACAATGACTTTATTACAGAAAAAACATTCCCTATCAAATTTAAAGATTTTAGCTCTGTAGTAAAGTCCGTTCCCAGCGGACTGATTGATTTAATGAAAGGCTACAAAAACAGAACACACCACATGCATCCGTTAACACTCTTTATATAAATGGTATTGATTTCTTAAGCAAGAAATGCACCAATAAACATATTAGAGAATGTTTGTATAATGCAAAGAAAATAACTCCAAGAGGGAAGTTTTTTGGAATGCTATTTTTGATAATATCACCTGGGATAAAGCGTGGCTTGTTCCTTTTAGATTTTGCATTACAAACAAAGTTAGAGAATTACATTTGAAGATATTACGTAACATATATCCATCCAACATGTACATTTCAAGATTCTGTGACATTGATAGAAAATGTGCCTTTTGTAAAACTGAACTTGAAAGTGTTACTCATTTGTTTTATGGCTGTTCATATAGTGCTACATTTTGGAGAGAGCTTGAAAATTATATACTGTGCAAGACAACACACGAAATCAAAATTGAAGGGAAGAACATTATCACTTATTTTGAAACTAAAAAAAAAAAAGTGCCATTGTCAATCTTTATATCTTATTAGGGAAATTCCACATACATAAATGTAAATTTCAAAACACAACCCCATCATTTAATTTATTTTTGATTGAAATTGAATATTATTTAAACTCTCTTAAATTAACTTCCAATAAAAAAGGTTTATCATTGATTGAAATTCATTCAGAAATGTTTAACAAATGAGCTGTCACAACTTTCAAGTACTAAATTATCAAGTCTGTCACCCCCCCCCCCCCCCCCCCCCCCCCCTTTTTTTATCCTTTATTTATTCATCCTTCTTATTTCATCGTACTGTATATTGTTACCTTTACTTGCCTTGTATGTCTACTGTTCAGGCTGAACTGGAATGACTGGCTGTTCACTTTGTAATTTCAATAAAGTTTGAAAAGAAAAGAGAAAAAAAAGAAAAAAATAGCGAGTTTCCTTACTGAGGAGTTGGCAACACTGGCCACTGCTCCTGTAGGTCTTGTGTTGGGATCGATACCAACATCAGTATCGCAATGAGCAAACACTCAAAGTCCAGCTGCTCGTCACAGCTGTCTCCTCCTCCTGTCTTTGGCTGAAGGCTGCCTCCAGCAGTCAAATGTAAGCGGACCTGAGGGCAGCATGAACGGACCTCAGCTCAGCGAACTGCCGGACGACTCGGAGCAGCTCAGGCCGTACGTCAGCCGCCTGAGGCGGGGTGCGCTGCGGGCCGGCGAGCTGTCCGCTGTCGGGAGCTTATCCAGCGGCTTTCTCCTCAGGTTTCTGCGGGCCAGAGACTTCAACACGGAGCTCTCCCTCAAGGTAAGAGCCGTCACTGAGAGTCAGGGGAAACATGCTGAAGTTTAGGAGAGTCCAGGAGAGCTCACAGAAACCACACCGTGAGGAAGACGTTTGGTCGTGCTGACCATCATCATCATTCACCCACGTTGAGCTGAGCAGTTCAGTCCTGAGCTGGGCTCGTGGGGAGGCTCACGGTTGTTTCCAAAATCACTTAATGTGGAGTGTTGGCACTGTTCTTACCAAACTGCATGTAGGTTAACACATGGATTAAAATAATATGCAGCCTTGTTCTGTGCTATCCAATGGTAAAGCTAAAGCCTCACACGTGATTGAGTTTGCTCCTGTTTTGCAGGTGTTGGTCCACACAAGCTCGGTTGCTGTGATCTTGAACAGCTCATTTTCTGCTGGGTTGGTTCAAATGCTCATTTTGTTCCTGCTTTGACAACATGAGCATTTTTGTTTGTCTCTCTGTCACCTGACTGTCTGCGCTGCACTCGCCTTATTATTCTCTTCGTGTCTGACCGCAGTGTGTTTGCATCACAGCAGACGTGCTCCTGCGTGGGCTCTGAGGTGTCCTCTTTGGCTTTCAACGATTGCTCCCTGAACAAATGTAAGAAGGTCTGCTGGTTTCAAAGTTGCTGCAGAGCTGTGGTCACGTTGTTCTTCATGAGCACGTTAAATGAATCAGTGCAGTTTAAAAACAGCGTTTACTTTGCTCCACAGGATAGTTGAGTAATTTCAGGCATGTGGGTCAAAGCTCTGCCGTTCAGTCGATCTGACTTTTATCACATAAACACTTCTTTGAATTTGCCTTTGTTTCAGATAAACAGCCGGGTCATAAATGTCTTATTTACTGTTTGTACATCGGTGCAAGGCTATCAGTGCTGACTCACAGCAAGGAGGTCATGGTCGTCTGAGCCTAACGATCGGCTCTGGCTTCTCTGTGCAAAGTTTGCACGTCCCTGTGCGGTCTTCCTCCCAGTTCCATGCACTTCAGGTTTATTAGCGATCCTAAAATGACTGTGGGTGTTGATAGCTGTCAGTCTGTGACAGACTGCCAACCTTTCCACCTTTACTTATGGTAACTGCAAAAGACTCCATCACACTGGTAATCTGGCTGTTGGCTGTGCTCTGCCCTGCAAGCTCACAGCCAACACTGAATGCAGCAGTCTTCATTTTGTTGTGTTGTGTGGTTGTTTTTGTTGCATGCAGTGATGAAGTATTAACCTTTTAACTACGTGTTTGAACCATGTTCATAGAGTCCTAGGAACTCCCTAATGTCCCCGGGGTGGAGTGGTGGTTCGATCCCTGGACAAGATATTAACCCAGAGTTGCTCTCCATGCATCCATCAGACTATGAATGTGTGTGGATAGAAAGCACTTACATGGGAAAGTGCTTGTGTGAAAAGGTGTGACTGTGTGAGGGAAGTATAAGAATGAGTCCCTCTGTAATGTGTCCTGTACAGCTCTTGCTCAACTACCAGCGGTGGCGAAGGGAAAGTCCTGAGATCAGCAGCTGTCTGTCTCCTTCCTCGGTGCTCGGCCTCCTCAACACGTCGTACCACGCTGTGCTCCCGCAGCGAGACTGCACAGGCAGCAGGGTGCTCATCTACAGGATTGGTCAGTATGCTTGGGTGTGGATGGATTATTGAAAGGGCCTGCTAGGAGCAGCCCCAACGACATCAACACGAGCTACGATAAGCAGGCAAAGCCTCCCTGGTCTGTTTCCTCAGTGATTTAACAGCTTTTAAAAGAAGCTGATCTTAAATTGTTATCTAGTTTTATAGGGTTACACAAATAAAACTAAGATGCTGTTTAATGCTGGTCATTCTCTTTGAGTCGACATTAAACTCATTCAGTCCTGTCACCATAGGACAGGAGCTCTGCTCCATCAGTAAGGCCACAGATGAAATCCCCCTCATGTCTGTCACCACTGACCTACTCTCAAACTTGTTTCTCAACATTTTAAACATACTGACAGTAAAGGCAGCCTGCTGGGATGGTACGGAGATGAACTCTTCCTCTTTCAAACATGCAAAAGCTTCAAATAATCAAATGTCCTTCACACACAATTCTAAAGAGGAACAATACAAAAAGGAAACGTGACTGAATGTGCAGAGTAGAAGTTGACGAGCGTTTCAATCATCATCATCATCAGAAACTTTATTGTCATTGTCATGAGAACAACGAAATTAAGAATGGTCCCCGATCATTGCATCATCCCTAGCAATATCAAAATATAAATAAAACAATAAAATTCAATAAATAAAATAGAATACTTAAAATACTAATAAGATATAACAGTAAAACATTCACATACATTCCCACACACATGCTTCAGACCGTGCATAGATTAACACAAGAGTGGCGTGATGGACATTTTTTTGTAGTATTCAGATGTGTTATTGCAGTTGGATAACAGCTGTGTTTGAGTCTATTAGTCCTTGCTCTGATTGCCCTGTACGGTGCTACGATAACGAGCAGAGACATACGCTGAAACTTCTACTGTGCACGTGTCAGTCCAAAAACGGTTTATTGGCTCTCATTTATTAGCGAGGACTGTCTCGTTTTATTGTATCGTCTCTGACCGCGATGGCTGCACAGTTCCAGGACTGCACAGCACAATTTCAGGGTTTTAGTTGATTTTAAGCTAGATTTTAATGGCAAACATTGGTGTGTTTTGAAAAGTGGCTTTGCTAGTTCATGATGTATAAATGACACCGATTCAGAGATTAGCATATTAACTGTGCTCCACAGGATGATGCTGTGGTCCTTCTTCTGAAATATGTTTTATTCGTGTAGAGTAATGTCTGCTTGTTTGCAGGGCAGTGGAACCCGAAAGACTGGTCAGCCTTCCAGGTATTCAGAGTCAGCCTGATGACATCCGAGATCATCTCAAGGGAGAACGAGACACAGAGGCAGGGTGTGAAGGCCATATTTGACCTCGCGGGGTGGAGTTTGAGTCATGCCCTGCAGATTAACCCTTCGCTTGCCAGAAAGATTTCATCTGTGCTTTCGGTAGGACTGAGATCGAGCTGTGCAGATGACGACCTATCGTTTGTTCTTTAACAACAGAACATGTGTGTTATTATGAATGTTTACCAGTGTAACAAAACTCTGCACCACACTGAACCGGATGCGTTTTCCTTTCCTTCTATGACCAGAAGCCCAGGGTCTTGAGTCACCCCTCACTTCTTGCAGGCTGTCATGTTAATAATAATTCAGTGTTCTGGCCTGTTGGGACTGAATGAGCTATTAAATATTAATAGTTTTGTTAACACAAGATTTTGTATTCTTTCAAAATTGTTACAAAGGCCTTTAAATGGCCTGGTACATGCCACGCCCCCTTTAGTTTCAGCCCAGCTTGTGCAGGTATCGTTGCCATGGAGAGTGGGCCAGCTGCCTCAGCCAGCTGCTACATTGTATCGAGTTTACAGCTCATCAGCACATGTTGCTGTCATATCTGTAGCTTTACTGGACATGTGGATGCCTAAAAAACCTTCCTCAGCAATATCTGAGAGACAGAACAATCCATTAAAGACCTGACACGGTGCCTGAGAGATGGATCTGGACCATCTACTGTTTGCTGAAGCCTCAGCACAACTGGTCCCAGTGAAAGTGTGGCAGTCAACAAGCCATCCTCGAGGAAGAGAAAACGCTGACATGCCAAATTACACAAGAACTGATATGAAAATCAGGAGCAACAGTCCTTATGGAGATGAATCCACATGTGAAGTGTTTGGACCAAACAGAGGAGATACTGAGTAAAACACGGTGGAGGGTCTGTCAGGGTTTGGGATGGTGTTGGGCATCCTGTCAAAACTGATGGAATTGTGAATCTGGACAGCTACTGTCAGATGTTGGAGTTCCACCTGGAAAGCGTCTGATTTGCAACCTTTTCAGCATGATGATGATACCAAGCAAGCATTCCTGGGTAGAAACACACAATGGAACATGACCGTCCTGGACTGGCCTCCCCAGAACCCAGACCACAATGACTGAGGTAGAGTGGGAGAGAGTGGAGATTTAGAATTCAAGGAGCCTGTAGAGTTATTCCTGAAGACTGCTAATTACAAGAAAGCTGCCCGAGAGTTCGTGTTGAAAATTCAAGGTGGTCATGCCAACTTTGACTTTCCAGCTTGTTAGAATTGAGCAAACTCTGTTTTTGCCTGATATGTGCGTGTGTGCAGATCTTTGAGGAAACGACTGCACCTATTTCTCCTTTTCCTTTCAAAATGGAAAAAAGGTGACTCAAGACAGTTTTTTTGTTTGTTTTTACAGCGACCCTTTTCTATAGAAATGTCCTTAAAAAGCTTAAACTGAAGGCCAAATGCTTGTTAGAGACTTCCTGTGAAAGGTAGCATCTTATAGCTCCTAAAACTGCTTATTTGTAACTCAGTCGTAACCTTGCCCCTAAGGGACCGGCTGGAAGTTCAGAGGTAGAACTTTGATGTGCAGAGTTTTCTGTATTTTTATATTTTTAAGTTTTCAACTTGTTAAATATGCTTTGATGCTTGTTTATGTGTATGTTCAGGACTCTTTCCCACTGAAGGTCAGAGGAATCCACCTGGTCAATGAACCGATGTTCTTCCGTCCGGTCTTTGCTATGCTTCGTCCCTTCTTGCCTGATAAAATCAAGCAGAGGGTCAGTACCCGCGCTACCTCACGTACTGGTTATACTGAAGATGACAGATAACAACTGTGGATTTGAAACATCCTTTCACCCTCTTTGTTGTAGATCCATATGCACGGTTCTGATTTCCAAGATTCTTTAAGTGGCTTCTTCTCATCACACGTTCTGCCTCCAGAATATGGAGGGCATGGGCCTGGAATAACACAAGTGTGTCAAGGCTGGACCAATCACCTGCTTCAATCAGAGAACCTCCTGCAGCAGATTGCTGCCCACCCAACGGGTGACATCACAATGACCCCTGATGACTGTTTGATCACAGAGGAAGGCGGGACTCTGTGAAAGATGATGATTGGACGTTTGGGTGGCTGACTCGCGTATACGTGGCGGGTTTGTGCACATGTCTACGGTCTCTGCAGTGCTTGTTGTGGAAGTTGGCTGAAGTGAGAGAGCTGAAAACGAGATCCTTAATGGCCGTGCTGTTTCATGTTTACGCCACAGCCGACCAATCTGGAATTTTTAAGAACAATAACAATGCTGATATTATTATGTCATGATTTTAAAATCATATTTTGATCGATCTGCTGCTTTTGTTTCTGTTATCATTTTTTATTTGTTACATTACTCACATCATGTTATAAGTAGTTATTTATTTATTTAGCCTCTGCCCAACTCAGCTATAATCAGCTGATTGTTGTTTCCCAGACAGTTTTATACCTTCCCTCTGGCACCAGGAACAAATCACCACCGAGCTGACATGGGCCCAATCACTGAGGCTTTATAGTGAATGCTTATGGTTTTACTCAGTTTTTCAAGCATTTAGGAGCTTGATGTAAGTATCTGGGAATAGTGCTGTGTTGTAATTTCATCGTCATATTAATGCTGCTCCGGGACCATCACTGTAAACGATGAGTCACGCTGATGTTTAGTCAAAGGATCCTGCAATAAAAAGCTCTACTCTTAGTGTTGTGGAAGGTGTAAAAGTAGGGCAACAAAATCTGTGTCAGTCACACTGCATACATGGGATCAACCGGTTCGAGGCCCAACCCCCGGGCCTCGGACCGGTCCGTGAGTCGTTTGGTACCGGGCCGCGAGAGTTGAGGCTCAGGTGTGAAATGTCTGGTTTTCAGGGTTTTTATTGGTTTTCAGTGTTATTTTGTTATCGTTTTGATCGTTTACTCAGTTTTCCTGGGTCTTTTCACCTGTGTTATGAATAAATCTTCTTTTTTGTCGGTACCGGTACTGGTTTTATTTTGTTGTATTTATCCGCGACACCTTAAAGGCCGGTCCATGAAAATATTGTCGGGCATAAACCGTCCGTGGCACAACAAAGGTTGGGGACCGCTTTGGTCTCGGTGCTTTATAACAAAGGCACATTAACTCGCTCATCTAGATTCTAGTAAGATTTAAAGAAAGCTGCCAGCTCGGCCTTGCTGAACATCCCCAACATGTTCATGTCATTTGTTACCTTTTGGATAACTTCATATGTCAGGTATTAATGGCTCTCAGCTATACGAGTGTGCAAAGGTTTCAGGCAGCTGTAAACAAAGAACTTTACTGGCCCCAAATGTATTCTGCAGAAGGACAACGAGCCAAAGTCATCAAGAACTGTCTTCAGTGTAAAGAAGAACCTGAAGTACTGAAGTGAGGGTGTGGCCCCCACAGAGCCCTGATCCCAACATCACGGAGTGTCTGGGATTACATGAAGGATGTGAGGAAGCTGCATCCACAGAAGAGCTGTGCTGAGTTCTCTGAGATGTTTGGATCAACCTACCAGCCGAGTTCCTTCAAACTGTGCACATGGACCTAGAAGAAGGCAAAGGGCGGTCCCACCAACATGGATGTGATTCTCTGTTGTTCATTCACTGCATTTTGTTGATGGATGAAAATAAATGGTAACACTTTTATTTTTGAAAGCGTTCTTTGTCACAGCAGCGTTTTCTTTATCACGGGTCCGTGAGCTGCATGCTGACAGCCCTGTGTTAGAGCACATTTAATCTCTGATAAATGATATATTATGTACCTTTGGTTTGTGCCTCAGTGTCAAGGTTTCACTGTTCGCAGGAACGACTCTGTGGTCATCAGACACGATGGTGTTCAAAGTGCTGATGCTGGAAACCAGTGGAGGCATGATGCTGATGACATCCACTATTTATATACAGTATATGACACACACACACACACACACACACACACACACACACACACACACACACACACACAGAGGCTGTCAGACTGTGGACACTGGGCCAAACCTCAGAGGGGACAAGCCTCCCTCTCTTGGCCTTGTAGGCAAAATATATATAAAATCCACAGTTTGTAATATGCTTGGCTCAAAACTTGTAATATTTTTAGCACTGATGGCATTTTTAGTATTGTATGCCACATGTTCTGACAAGTAAACGATGCAGATTTGTGAAAATATAAAGGGCTCCAAATATTGAAAGTGTTCTTTAGACTCATTAAAGTCTGAGGTTTTCTGTGTCAGGCTCAAATCCATCTAACACAGTGGTTCTTAAGCTTGTTGGAGGAGCGAGCCCCACCAGCTTCATATGCGCATTCACCCCTCTTTAGTGAAAATTAAAATGTGATTTTTTTACTGGTGCACAAAATGAGCCGTGCACGTCACGGCGGAGGCTCTGCCGAACCCGAGACCGACTCACCGAACCCCTAGGGTTCGATCGAACCCAGGTTAAGAACCACTGATCTAACAGTTGATAAAACGATGAACTCACATCAGGGGAAATGGATGTTTGAACACTAATAAAATGAAGCCCATCCAGGCCACAGAGTGATGCTGCAGTCAGATTATCCCAATGTGAGGTATAAATATATGATAAAGGGCTTTTACTCTGTTCTCTCAGTGAACACGAGCTCTGTAGGCACATATCAGCTGAGTCCAGACCTGATTTGACTTTAGCACCAATAACTTGAAGTTCCTGTTTTCTGTGTGAGTTATGAGTGTCGCATCGTTGTGGGGGGATGTTGGTCGAGTCTTCTTTGGCTTCAGTTCATTGATATTTGTGAACGTTTTCTTCCACGTGGCTCTGAAAGATCCTGCCACAGCATTTCAGTTAGACTGAGGCTTAAATCCCATCAACAGTTGGTCATGTGTGGTGACAGTCAGACAGGAGCTACCATGAAAGCAGTTGTCTGTTACTTTCTGTTGTTCTATCTCTCTCTCCAAGTTATCCCTCTGCTCCAACAAACTTTGAATATTCTGTTGACAGAGTTTTAGCTTTTCTCTGGAGAACAAAAAACACAGGATAAAGAAGACACAGTGCTAAAGGAAGATGACAGACATTTTCCATGGAACTGCATCACAGTTCATCAGGTGCTCAATGGCTCATGGTCCAGACAAATAAAAAGACGGAAGGAAAGTGGGGAGAAAGGACATTATAAGAAATGTTCTGTCCTCGGCTGAAATCATTTTCTACAAATTGCCGAATCAGTTGGAACAGATATGATTGGCCTTGTGTGAAAAAGGCAGGAGCAGAAAAAAATGGAATAAAACGGGAACATTTTTGAAAAGACTGGGCAAAAGCCTGTGTATTTTTTTTAATTCTCATAAGAATTAAAAAAAAGCTTTTCTACTGGTACTGGTTTGTGTGGAGTCTAGAAAGGTTCACAAAATGTAGGTAAGGAGCTTCTGTAGCTCTAGAGGTCTGTCAGTGCCAGGTTCAGACCTGGCTTTCAGCACGTCATGCTCCTTCTGTCGGTGAAAGCAGTCCAGCTGGTCGAGGTTTCGTCTCAGCTTGAACATCCGTGCTGTCTCGGCAGAACTCCTCTTCTTACAACCGCAAGGTCACCATCGTCAACACCATCATCCTCTCTTGGGGCAGATGCAGAATTACATTTAGAAAAGGCTCCTTATGTGATGCAAACTCTTAGATACACTCACTATTATTCACAGACTGTCTTTCATGTATAGAAGTATATGATGCAACAGACTTTCAACAGATGCTGAAATAAAAAACAGAAATTGAACTTTATTGCTTTGCATAACAAGATCTGACCGAAGCAAGCACCGTGGTTTTGAATACAAGACACACTGCCATTTGGATTTAACTGCCCAAAAAATAAAAACTAGCAAACACCCACTCAGACAATTCTTCTAACCAGTCCAAATCAGCAGGCACATCTGACTCTTCGGCTTTAAAGGTTTCATCACTTGGATCATCTGAAATAAATCAGCATAATAAAAAAAAAAGAAAGCAGTTCTTTGTTTTGTCGATATAAAAATATGAGATTTGTGTGTCGTCCTGCGTGCTCGTACCACAGACCTTTGATCAGCATTCAGTCAGCATGCATATCAGCGTCGGCAGAGTTCAGGGAACATTGTGTTCTCTCCAACACTACAAACCCAAATGTTAGCAGCCAATCAATAGTGAAAATCAGGAGGTGATCTACAGCAAGCTCTTTATCACATCTTTGATCAAAAGCTTGTTGTTGGGATGAATCCCAGGCCCTGACCTCCCTATCTGTCCTTATCTGTTGGCAGGAGATTGTAGTTTATTGGGGGCTAAAGTTAAAGTAATATTTCCAGCTTAACTACATGAAGTCCAACGACTAACTTTGTTTTGAGGTGGTCTTGCAATAATGTGTAGTTATTACACCACCCACAGTAAATACAGAACTTGATGAAACATACCTGTGCACACCCAAAGAGCTAATCATTGAACGCGTCACAGAGCGAGCGACATGCTGGCAGGATTTCATCTGAAGCTGCTCAGCAGCTGGAGTAAATCTTCATTGATGAATTTCAGATGCATTTTTGTGTGTTTCACGTGTGCTGCTGTCACGTCCCATTCCACAGCAGCGTGGGAAACAGCTGTTTTTTATGTGCAAACATACGTGGAAATACAGCACATAAGGCAAATCAGTGTTTGCACAATGATGACAAGCCTGAAAGTCAATATTTGGTATTTTTCTTCAACATGTGAACTCTGAACTCTATTAGGCAAGTTTTCTCTAAGCAGCTTTCTGGAATAGTAACAAGGAAACATTCAGGCAGAACACCTGGACAGCTGCTGCTAACCTGTTTTTTAAGAGCATTCAAGAAGGTCGAGGGTTCCTGTGTGTCCTTCTGTGTGCTGGTGTGTCTCTGGTCATGGCCACATGCTGCTGTGCTCCCACTGAACTCTTCTCCACATATTTAACTTTCCAATGTGGTACAAAGGCTATCGTGCTCCTCTGTGTGCGAGTCGCCTCACCTACAGCTCCACTCAGACTCGCAGGCTGCTAATAATACAATAGTGTTATCAAAAACACATAATAAACTTTAAGGAACTTTGTTTTTGAGGGTAGATGCATTCTTTTAAAAAGAGCCTAAGATCCATTGCAGTTTTATTTTGAAAGTCAGTATATTTCTGCTTGTAGCATCCAGGAAACATTTTATGGCTTTCATACTTTTATGCATACTACTAACTTTCTGCAACAACTTGGGGCTTTTATTTTGAAAACCACACGTATCTCATTTTAGCCTCTAAAAGAAAACTTTGGAAATTCAACAAGAGGCTGCAAGAACATTTTTATCTGGCTCAGCCCACTGTGGAGAAATCCCATAACTTCAGATGAATGCATGGACTGTAGTTACGACATACTCAGAGCAAGTTCATCGTTTTAATTAATGCAGTGTGATGTGCTTTTATTACGTTTAGAGTCTAAAAACTACAGGATCCTGTGACGACACCGAGCTCTGTGTTTTCAGTGTTCGTTTCTTTTAGCTTTTATTCCAGTCTTGTGGACTCTAAACATGGTCAGCTCATCTGTACACAAAGCATATAGTGAAGCTAACAGCACGACTGTCGTTGGCACTGGTTGTTTCAATCCATCCAAGTCTGATTTCACGGACAGTGTGTGTAAATCGGATTCCTCTGGGAGGAAATCCGTAGAACCAACTGGTTTAGTGAGTACTGTGTGAGCCCGTGTGCACATCTTTAGAAGAAGACAGTGTGCTCATG